GGTCCTGAAACACAAGTGAGAGATCTGTTGCCATGTCCGTATTTCGATTCGATTGATATTTCAGCCGGAGAGCGTCAACCGGATGACCGTATCAAGCTCAATAACATTACGTATACGAAAGATTTGTATACTGTGGTGGACTTTAGGTTGAACTATGATAAAAACGGAACACCATTCTATGAGAAAGTGAGACCATACTACCGTGGATGCATTTGCAACATAACAAGCTGCTTGTTTCTTTGCTATACGGGTGACGGTGCGGAAAATTGCAAAACCACTGTTCCACATGAAGACGTTCAACAAGAGCTGGATCGAGAATTTAATTTCAAATTTCAATATATTAACGAGAAATCGTGCACCGATAATCTTACCATTCCATTAAATAAAGATGATTATAAAGTAGAAAATGTAATAACTTCACAAACTTTTTATATTCAAATACGTAATGGGTGCAATTTGTTATCTTTCAGGGCGAAGTTATTGATCTCCAAGAAAAAGAAGCTTTAGATCTAAAATCTATCTTTATTACGTATGACAAAGCAACAAAGGAAAAGTCCCTTAATCTGTGCGATGGAATTGATGTTGATATCAATAGTATAAATTTACAAACCAGCATCTTGCCGTATTGTGAGTGGATTTATTTTTATATTTTCATTTAATTTTTTTTTTAATTCTTGTTTTTTTTTTCAATTCAATTTTTTCTTATAATTTATCGAAATTATCATGCTAATGTTGTTATCAACTCATTTAAAATGATTTTATCATGATAATTACTCATTATTAATGCATTTTTTTCCCGCTTCATCTATTTCTGTCACTTTAATCCCCTATTTTATCCAATCCTTCTTCTTATCAAGTTATGTTCACATCGGTCGCGTTCATAATCATCACATTCTTCGTGTACATTTTCTTGCCGGAGCTGCGCAATTTGCATGGAAAATGTTTGATGTGCTATTTAATTAGCTTGGCCATTGGTTTCAGTCTGATGGGCTGGTTGCTCATCAAAGAAATTGGATCAATCAATCATGTACTTTGTCTTTTAGTTGGTTACTTCATGTACTTTACATTCCAAGTGGCCTTCTTCTGGTTGAATGTGATTTGCTTTGATCTGTGGTGGAATTTCAGGAGAACCGGTGGATTCATAATATCGGAGAGAAAACGTTTCATGTTTTACAACATTTATGCGTGGGGTGGTTCTTTGCTCTTAACACTCTTAATTCTTCTATTGGACAAAACATCGATGCCGGAGGGATTTAAACCAGGCGTCGGAAATAGTTGCTTTTTAGAACGTATGAACGAACTATAAGTTCTTTGATTTCTATTTCAAGCCATTTTCAATACGTCTGATGAATATTTTGATTTAATTTAGTGGGCCTCCCAATATTCCTTTACTTTTACTTGCCATTGTTCATTCTGTGCACTTTGAATATTGGGTTTTTTACTATGGCTGCCATTAAAATTCGTCAACATCAAATTGAGATAAGAAAAGTCGTATCAAAAGACGAAAGCCGAAAACATCGAAAAAAACTGCAAAAAGATAAAGACAAGTAAGTGAAGAAGTACGAAATGATCGCTTAGAAGTAATAAAGTCAACTGACGATAAACATATTTTATGAACCTCATTCAGAGAGTGTATTCTCACTGCTGAGCATGTCTGAACAAATTGTTCATTTCTAGATGAAATCGAGAAGGCAATAATTCCACTCAGCTTAAGCATTCTCAGCAGCGAAAATGCACTCTCGGACCTCAATGAATGAGATCTTTTTCTTGAATTCTGATAAATTAACCGAAACATTGCAACATTCAATGTCATGATTTTTCAGCGTCACCCTATTCTTGCGCCTTTTCATTGTGATGGGTGGTGGATGGATCATGGAAGCAATATCGTTTGTAGTCGACTCCAAAAATCCTTATTTCTTTCTCTTCGACATATGGAACGCTTCGTCAGGAATATTGATATTTATCTGCATGGTGTTGAAATGCCGTGTGCTTCGTTTGATGAAGAAGAAGTGAGTCTGTTTATTTTTTTGGTTTATTCTTTCAGCAATGTACTCTTTAAGCTATGACGAAAGCTTTTACAATATTTTAAATCAATTTTGGTTTCTTGAATAATTTAGCACCAAAATGCCAAACTACTCATTCAATTTCATTAGTTTCCATTAACCAATAACCAATTTTCTTAAATTCATTTCACGCTTTCCGTTCTAACGAATAATTATTTACAATAAATTCTGGGTTCTATGGATAAAAATTTCGATACTTATGATCTGTGTCAATTTATTTTTCGAGTCTTCTAGATACAACCGAATCCTTCAACGATCAATCTCAGCGTCTGAAGACCCTGTCACGCACAGTTCCACAATGACTGGTGATCAAAGGGCAAACATGCGATTACAACGACTTACATCAAATATTTCGGCAGCAAGATCCATCTATTAAGCGAAATTCATTATCCTCTTAGAGAGAGAGAATGTTAGCGTGATTCTAACAATGTTGGTTCCCAACACCGTACATTGAATTCGATTGAAAATAAAGAGATATTTAAAAAAAATTAAAACAAATTTCATATGCTATGTCTGATGTACTTACCTTCTTTCTTGCTAGCTTTCTTGCGCAGAGTGATTGGAATATGGTTTTTTTTATTTCGATAAATCAAATGTGGTATGTTTGCACGATGCATGGTCAGTCTTATCGTTTTCTTGGACAAATCCTTGACGACACTTTAATTTTAACCTGGGTTGGTAAATTTTCGTATTTCGAGCGACGTGTAAGTAATTTACGTAAGAAACATGTATCTTACGTTTATTACGTAAGAAACCTCAACGCTCCAAAAAGTGCAGGGTTATAGACAAGAACCGACTATTCTCGTTTGTTGTAAGCATTCAAAGTATACAGAGTACATACATGCTCGTTCTACAGCGTTAGCCTTTTAAATAATTAATAAATATATTATTCATGCAAAAGTTTGAAACCACCAGCTATTTTTTCATAAAGAGTGTGTTTTTTCGCAGTGATACTTTATAACAGTGTGTAGCCAAATGAATTTTTGCATGCTTTTATATTTGATTTAAATAATGTTATACAGTGGAACCTCGGAAATTAGAAGGTGTTTGTACTTTGGGTACTTCTAATTTCTGAATTCTTCTAATTTCGGAGGCAAATTTTTTTGCATTAATTTTTCAGTTAAATGAACAAAATGACACTACAGTAACACCAGAACGAAATTCCCAAATAAAAATTTAACTTTGAAATATACTTTTAACAAGATTCCAATATTTTTGATCTCTCTGCCTTAATAATTCTTTTCAATAATATTCCAATTAAATTAGAAGAATTATCAGACGAAACAATTCATTTATTTCGACATGAAAGTTTTTTCCATAAAAACACGAATGTAAAGTAAATTTGGAGCAATTCGAATCCAAAGAAACAAAATTTGTTCATTTTTGGACGAAAATCGAACATATTTTCAGAAGATTTTGAATTCAATTTGCTTCAAATCAGCCATGATTGTATATTTTAGCGATGAAATGTTCCTAAAAATTTTCACTTTCAAATAGAATTCACATTAATATGTTTTGTTTCGAGATTTTGAAGCTGAGGCTCATAATTTTCGAAAAAAACCACAAATAGTGATTCAATTCCTTAGTTTCGTCAAGCAATTCCAATCGATACTTTGTTCTATTTAAAATATTTTTCGTTCGATACAATAGCTGCATTGCATTAAATAAGCATTAAAAAAATACCTCTGAAATTAGAAGACAATCTTCTAATTTCAGAAGCAGCAATGGAGCGGAGAATTCTCTTCTAATTTCGGAGGAATTCTAATTTCTGGATCTTCTAATTTCTGAGGTTCCACTGTAATAAATGTTTAATAAAAAGTTTCAACTATAAAATATATTTATATGGAAATGCAGAATTACCAAATCACTATGCAAATATTTCCATAAATAGTTGATAGAAGACGATTGAAAACGTTGATTACATAATGAAATAATTACATGAAGAATATTTAATTCACTTTTTGTTCATCATCAGAATTAATTTTTTACATAACGAAAGAACAAAACTAAAATAGAATACAAATTTTCTTCATTTCCAATAGAAAATCTTTTGTTTTTTGCATGCATTCTTTATGAAAAAATCATTTTTTCAGAGTTTCTTACAGGTTTCTTACAAATTCATGTAAATTACATGATTTTTCATAGGTAAATTACATGATGTAATGTACGTAACTTTGATGTAATTTACATGGTCGAGTTTCTTACGTACCAACCCAGGTTTTAACTTCGAACGTTTGTTCGTTGCACATGATTTAAGAACTTTATTTTGTTCGTTCGTTCGGAAATTATGGCTTGTTCGATCATTTTTACATTCAAAATGCATAGGACGCAAATTATATTTTGAATTCTTTGGGCAAGACTGTAATCATCTTCAATTTTTTTAATCAACGCATGTGCTGTATAGTAAGTACATTTTGAATCATCAGGTTTTGTTAATGTTAATTGTTCATGTTTCATCTTTTTCGTCGAATTATGAACTTGATTTAAAAACCCCTTCCCTTGGTGTGGAATGGTAAATTCCTTTCAAATTCTTCAGTGAATAAACAAACCAGAATAACTTTTTTCCCTTCAAAATTTCATTTCTTTTTATCGAGTTTTTATCAAAATTAAAAAAAAAATTGCTGATAGACCAAGATGGAGCGTTTAAATTATCCACAAGTTACAAATGTTATATAAACGTTTTTCGTTAATTCATGTTAGTATTAAAAATGAACTCAACAAGTGTATTCCAACGCAGTAGAACCAGTCGACATTTCTGATTTCGTTTTCTTATTTGATTAACCAAGGAATTTAAGCAATTAAAGCAATTAAGTGGTTTTTGAACGGTGAA